TCCTTTCTTCTTGTTTTTGTTTGCTTGGTTTTTGTTTTGTTTGGTTGTGGGTTTTTTGTTTTTGTTTTGTTTTGTTTTTTTCCTGACAGAGTCTCACTAAATCGCCCTGGTTGTCCAGGAACTCACTCTGCAGACCAGGCTGACTTCAAACTCACAGAAACCCATCTGCCTCCCCTAACAAGTGCTGGGATTAAAGGTGTGCATGCATCACCATGCCTGACACCAGTCGTGTTTTCTAAGTAGTAACTTCATTTAACTGCAATGAAAACTTTGTCTCCAAATATAACGGTGTACCTAACTACTGGAGACTGGCCTCTTGGAAGAGGTCTTGGGGACCCGTACGATGTAGCCCAGAATGACATTTTTCTGCAGAGATTTAGTGACTATGTAGTGGTCACACACACACACACACACCCCTCGGTTCCAGGTGTGCACCCCTCCTTCAGCTTCTGCATAGCCTGCTGAGAAGTACTCACACTGCCACCCATTTTCTTCACCCAAAGGCACTCAGTAGGAACAGGGTGGGTGGGGTAGGTTGAAGTGGGATAGGGTCTGGTGGGATGGAGACCCAGAATGTGTCCTGCACTCACAATGCTCAGTGCTTAAGTGTGCTTGCTGCCTTTGCGGAGTTCTGTTCCCAGCACCCTCAACAGCTCACAGCCACCTGTAACCCCAGCTCTGAGGATCCAATGCCCTAGTCTGACTCCCGAGGGCACCTGCATGCGCATATCATATGCGCACACAAGCACATATGTAAGACAAAAAAATCTTAAGAGCTAGGTGAAGCGGGAGGCTGAGGCACTGTTAAGTTTAAGGCCGCCCTGAGCTACATAGTGAGACACTGTCTCAAAAACAAAACAACTGGAATGAGCTTCGGATATGGTGGCTCACTCATGTCAGTGTAATCTCAGCACTCAGGAGGCTGGGATAGTTGAATCGTAATTTAGGGGAACCTGGGCCGAGTCTTAAGATTGCCTCAGAACCAAACAGACACAGGTCCCGCAGGAGTGAGGAACCCATTGATGAGAAAAGCCAAGCTACGGCGGCATACCCCACCCCCCCTTCCAAACACATCTTTGCCTGAAGAAATGCAGTTTTCCCGGGGTGGGGAGTTTGTATTGAAAGCCTCCCTCTTTAGATTTCTCTGTTCTCTTTCTCTATTTGTGCGGCCGGTGCCATCAGCACCTTTGCACGATTAATGCAGGGGCTGGGAACCCAGGTCCGCTCCTCTGCAATAACAGTATTCACGCAGCAGTCCTCAGGTGCAACACCTAGAATAAGCTTGCTATTTTGAGATTATAATTATGATACCAAATAAATTATATCAATACATGCAAATGGAGCCGGGCGGTGGTGGCACACGCCTTTAATTCCATCATTCAGGAGACAGGCAGGCGGATCTCTGAGTCTGAGGACAGCCAGGGATGTTACACAGGAAAGCTAATGGACTTAATTTATATGTCAAAGGAAAGTAAAAGAAAATGCTTGAAAATAGATTGATCAAACACATAACTCAGAAACTTAAAAAAAAAAGAATGCTGCCGGGGTGGTGGTGGCGAATGCCTTTAGCACTGGGGAAGTAGAGAGAGGAGGATCCTTGTGAGGCCAGCCTGGTCTACAGAGCCAGTGCCAAGATAGACCCCAAAGCAATACAGAGAACCCTGTCTGGGTGGAGGTGGGGGGGGGAGAGCCAAAGTAAATTGGAAGATTACAGAACAAGCAAATTAATAAATATAAGAACAGTAAGAACAAGGAGCTGGAGAGATGGCTCAGAGGTTAAGAGCACTGGCTGCTCTTCCAAAGGACCTGGGTTCAAATCCCAGAAACCACATGGCAGCTCACAACTGTCTGTAATTCCAAGATCTGACACCCTCACACAGACATACATGCAGGCAAAACATCAATGCACATAAAAAAATCTAAAAACTTATTTAAAAAAAAAGAATAGTAAACACTGCAGTCATAAAACCAAGTTGAACTGGATATGGTAGCCCACACCTTTGATCCAGCAGCCAGGAAGCAGAAACAGGAGAATGGATTGGATCACTGTGAGGCCAGCCTGGTCTACACAGTGAATTCCAGACCAGCAGGGGCTAACTACATAGTGAGACACTGTCTCAAAATAAGTACATAAATATTAATCAATTTAAAAATTGTTTTTTTTGAGCGGAGCATTGGCAGCACACGTGTTTAGTCCCAGCACTCAGGAGGCAGAGGCAGACAGATCTCTGTGAGTTCGAGGCCAGCTTGGTCTACAGAGTGAGTTCCAGGGCAGCCTCCAAAGCCATAGAGAGAAACCTTGTCTCGAAAACAAACAAGCAAACAAACAAACAAAAAAATTGGTTCTTTGAAAACTGCCCAGACATTGCAGCAGCACTGAGTGCAGAGTCTGAAACTATATCCAAAGGCAGGATTGTGCTCCCTCCGAAATCCCAAGAGAAAGTCTTGCTAGCTACAAGAGTGGCTGGGGGGGGGCCAAGTGCAGAAAGGAAGGTGGGACCATTCAATCAGCAGAGGCAAGCTCTCCCAGAAATGCAGGCACAGAAGTAGATGCAGGCACAGACCATTTCTTATTTAGAGGTGTGACATTCTCAGACAGCATGTGGACGGAAGTCACTGCCATCATCGGACACTGCACATTGCCCAGGCCCTTCTAAACGATTCCATCATGTACACAATGTCTTAAAATGTGTTTTGTTTTTAAGATGTAATCATTATGTATGCAATGTTCTGCCTACATGTATGACTGCGAGCCAGAAGAGGGGACCAGGTCTCATTATAGATGGATGTGAGCCACCTGTGGTTGCTGGGAATTGAACTCAGGACCTCTGAAAGAGCTCTTAACCTCTGAGCCATTTCTCCAGCCACGATGTACACTACTTCTATGCTGCCCTTTTATAATAAACTGATGTGTTTTAAAATACAAATAAAATCACCCAGAATATAGAAGGACCGTTATCTAGCATAATCAAGTAAGAAATCACAAAGTGGAAAATAGAAATGCATAGATGTACAACCCAACCGTTGCATACAAGGAGATCACCCTGGACGAGGAAGAAATCTGAGATCCAAAGCTGCCATCAAGGAAAATCTCAAGACATACAAACAGCACCTTTGGCTTATCCAAATGAATAAATACTATCACCAAAACATTCCTAGGACTGAGAGTGTAATGCAGTGGTAGAATGACTGCTTAGCAAACTTGAGCCCTGAGTTTAATTCCCAAAATACATGAAGAAGGAAGGAGGAAGGGAGAGGGGGATGGGAGCAAGCTAGGAATCTGAAGCTTCAGACTGTAAGAGACCCATGCACTTAGTCTAGTTGTTCATTAGAAATGAGAAACCTATGATTTCCAACACACAATGTATAAGAATGCAATTTTGTGGCACATATAACTAAAAGATGATGGGGTGGGGCTGTGGGAGCTGATTCCCTACACTAGTGAAGTTAAGTTCCGATAGATTACATGGGACTAGGATGTTACATGTAATTTCCCAAGGAATGCATTCTACAAGAATAAACAAACAGTATAGAGTATGTGTGTGAATTCCAGATATCCATATATGGGATTAAAATTTTTTGTCACAAAAAGCCAACTAAATACAAAAGAAAATAGGAATGTGAAAAGAGAAGCCATAGGCACACACAAAATGTAACAAATGGTGGAATTACGACCCTTCTTGTCAGTAAATACTTTAAGATGTAAATGTGTTAAACTCTGTAATCCAAAAATCAGAAATCAGCAGAGCGGGGTTTTTTTTTTTTTTTTTTTTTTTTTTTTTTTTGCTTGTGGGTGTTTTGCCAGCATGCCAGAGGACAGGAGGGTGTTGGATAACCTGGGGTTGAGGTGATAAACCCCTATGTGGGTGCTGAGACTCCAACCCTAATCCTCATGGCAAGCAGCCAGTGCTTTGCTTGTCTTGTCTTGTTTTGTTTTTTGAGACAGGGAACAGCCAATGCTTTTAACCACTTGAGCAGGCCAGAAGATTATATGGACGTTTCACTACAGAAGCTAAAACATTCTAAACATTTGTGTATCTAACAAATGGCCAAATATATGAAGAAAGCCTGGATTAAGTGAAGGGAGAAATACATAAGACTATCAAAGCAGTTGGAGACAATGATACTCGGCTCTCTGTTCTGGCCAAAACAATGCTGAAAGGTGAAGAAAGCAAGCAATAGCAATAATGGAATACAAGAAAGCAAAAGAACAGAAATACAGAGACTTCTCCATGGCACAGGCCTTTAACCCAGCACTGAGGAGGCAGAGGCAGGCAGATCTCTGGGAATTCAAGGTCAGCCTGGTCTACACTGTGAAACTCTGTTTCCAAAATAAAAAAAAATAAACAAAACCCAATCAAACAAAAGCAAATCAATGGAACAACCAAGTGAAGTGACCTGACAGATTCCCCATGTTTGGACCAGAAATTGATCACATTTCCAGCTATCAAAGAGATGGAATCTTCTATTCGAGAGGATTTTTTCCTTAAGGGTTTGTCCCATGAGAGCAAAACCATTTGGGTTCCAATCTAGAAGCTATAAGGAATTCTTTAGGACCCTCATTCTCAACTTTCACATCACAAGAGGATCACGTAAAACCTACAAGATAGGGCTGGAACAGGCCAACTGCCATGGTTGCATCTGGTGAAATGGAGGGACCCCAGGGAAGTGGTCTCCCTAATGCAGCTCAGCCCTTTAATACAGTTGCTACCATTGTGGTGACCTCCAACCATAAAGTTATTTTTGTTGCTATTTCATAACTGTAATTTTGCCGATGTTATGAATCATAATGTAAATATCTGATATGCCATTCCCATGAAAAGGTGGTTCAACTCTCCAAAGGGGTCGAGACCTATAAGTTGAGAACCATTGCTCAAGGTTTCTTGGTAGGTAGATACTTGCTGAGCCAGGCTCCTCCCCCAAGGGTGGGGACAAAATGAAGCACCATAAAAGTCGAAGTCATTTCTGTTCTCCCAGTGAATTTCTACCAGTCCACGTTGATGGTTATCTACCAGCGGTTATGGTCCCAAGTCCACGAACTGGATCTGCTTTGGTAAGTCTGTGGCTTGAAATCTCTTTGGGAAAGGTTGCCTTTCCCAACCTACTCCCTAAGGTTGGGGAAGTCAGAAACGCTAGAAAGTGGGGGGAGGGGAGGTTCGGCTAATACGGAATAGTAAGGCCGGAGAATTTAAATAGGTTGTTATTTAGAGGCTCATTTGCTGAACACCAGGGCCTGCCTTCCGCCAGTCAAACGTGGTTTGTGCAGGAGACAGTGGTGTGCCTCTTCACCATCACCTTCCTGAGATGTGGCCACAGCCCAACCCTCAAGCAGGCCACAAGGGTATATAGAATAAAAGGGCAGATAAAACAGGATTAGAGTGTTCATGTTCACATACACCTCAAATCCCAGCACTTGGAGACAGGCTGTGGGTCTCTGATTTCAAAGCTAGCCTGATCTACATACAGAGCTTCAGGCCAGCCAGTGCCTGTCTCAAAATAATAGTAGTAGTTTAAAAATAACAAAACAAAAGCCAGGCATGGTAGCACACCCCCTTAGTCCCACCACTGGGGATCAAGAGCAGCCTGACCCAGTTAGTAAATTCTAGAACAGCCAGGACTATGTGGACAAACACTGTCTCAAAAAAAAATTTTTTTTTAAAGTGAATTGGTATTTTGTATGCATGTATGTCTGTGTGAGGATACCAGATGTCCTGGAACTGGAGTTACAGATCAGACAGCTGTGAGCTGCCTTGTGGTCCTCTGGAAGAGCAACCAATGCTCAAACCACTGAGCCATCTCTCTAGCCTCTTGTTTTTTTTTTTTTTTTTTTTTTTTTTTTTGTGACAGGGTCTCCAGTGGCCGTTCTGAAACTCACTATGTAGGCCATTCTAGTCTGGAACTCACTGAGATTCCAGCACCACCATGCCCAGCCTGCCTATAAAATAATTGTTTCAATAGTTCTGTACAGGGGGGCAGATCCATTTGCATGCCCAGGAAACTGAAGGTTAGAGACTGGAGCTATTACACTAGAAATTCCTCCTTCCTTCCTTCCTTCCTTCCTTTCTTTCTTTCTTTCTTTCTTTCTTTCTTTTTTTCTTTTTCACATAATCTGGATCTGGCAGGTTCTGAAAATAGTTATTGGTCTAGAGGAGCCTCCAGCCTATCCATCTGGAAAGGTAAGCATGGACTCATGGGACAGGATTAAGATACTCTCCTGGGTCTATGTTTTAATTTTTTAAAATCTTTTTGTTTTTAGAGACAGGGTTTCTCTGTACTTTTGGAGCCTGTCCTGGAACTCTTAGGCTGATCTCAAACTCAGAGATTCTCCTGCCTCTGCCTTCCAAGTGCTGGAACTAAAGGTGTACGCCACCCCTGCCTGGCTCTATTATTTTTTAAACTTTTATTTTAAAAATATTTTATTTAGCTGGCTCACAGTAGTTCCTAGTTCCAGGACTGCCAGAGCTGCTACACAAAGAAACCCTGTCTCAAAAAACAAAGCAAAAAAATAATTATTTTTAGTTTATGTGTATATCTGTCTCTGTGTATGAGAATGAGTGTAGTTGTCTCTGGAGTCTAGAAGACAATGTTAGGTTCCGCTCAATTTCCATAGACAAGGCTGGCCCAAGCTTAGAGATCCCATTGCCTGTCTCCAAAGTTCATCAATTAAAGGCATGTGCTACCACCACCTGGCCTGAAATTAACATTTGGGGAGGGGTTGGGGGAGTTCCAGACATGGTTTCTCTGTGTAGCTTTGGAGCCTGTCATGGGACTAGCTTTTGTAGACCAGGCCGGCCTCAAATTCAGAGATCCACCAGCCTCTGCTTCTCCAGTGTGCTGCGATTAAAGTCGTGCCCCACTACCGCCTGGCTCTTGTTAGGCCTTCCATTTTGTTCTGTTTTTTTGAGATAGTTTTTTCCTATGTAGTCTTTGACTGTTCTGGAACTCTACTTTGTAGACCACGTCACGTTGGCTTCCAACTCACAGAGATCCACCTGCCTCTGCCTCCTACTTGCTGGGTATTAAAGGCAAAGGTGTGTGTCACTAATCTCAGTTTGCTGTTGGCTTTGAGATAAGGTTTTCCTGAGTAGTTCTGCTTGGCCTCTTCTAGGCAGTAACTCTTCATTCCCCTCCCCCAGCCCCTCAGGCAACTCTAGTCTCCTGTGTGGCTCTGTTGAGGACCTAGAGTAAGCTAGATTTTAGTATAGTATTACCATCTGGGCCATGGCGGCTCAGGCCTTTAATCCCAGCACTCAGGAAGCAGAGGCAGGCGGATGTCTGAGTTTGAGGCCATCCTGCCTCTGAAAGGGGAAAAAAAATATCTCAGTGTTGTCTCTTTGGAACTGCTGTCTTTTTCTACACTTAATGTCCTTGCGTTCTACCCATGCATGCTGCAGCATGTCTGAGCATTTTCTTCCATTATTCATAATTCCACCTTTTAATTACCCAACCATCCGATGATGGACAGACTCCCAGATATGTTTAGTGTTTGAGTTACCATAATGTGTACAAATATGAACATAAAGGTGCAAATATTCAATTCTCCTGAGGTCTAGACCCAGAAGTGGACTCCTGTGGATGTACAATAAATCCCATTTTATGTGTGTTGTCCCATTTTTACAGCACTTGTGTCATTTTACATTTCTACAGTGTGCAAGAATTCCACTTCTTAGCTAAACAATAGTATTGATTGGCTGGTGGGGCTTGCTTGTTTAAAAACCATCTCAATAGTTGAATGGGCTCTCATTTTGTTTTCCTAAGTTGACATTGGGCATCTTTTTGCTTTGCTTGTTATCAGTGAAACCTTTGGGGTCCTTGGCTTTTTGTGTGTGGTGTTGGAGATTGAACCCAGGGCTTCATGCTAGTCCCAATAGACTCTGTTCCATCCCCAGCCTCCCATCCTTTTTGATGTACTAGGGCTTGAAGAAGGGGGCTCCATTTATGATGTAGGCAATGCTGCTCTACCACTGAGCTACATTCTCCAAACTTTTTACTGGTTTTATTATTTTTATTATTTTGTTTGTTTGTTGAGACAGGGTTTCTCTGTGTGGCCCTGGCTATCCCAGAACTCCTATAGACCAGGCTATGCCTGGCTACTTATCTATCTATCTATCTATCTATCTATCTATCTATCTATCTATCTATCTATCCATCCATCTATATCTATCTATGTTTACTTACTCCTGAGAAATAAAAGTTTTTTCTTTCACATTTGATCAAAGTACATTATAAACTTGAGTGTAAATGTCATAATGAAAACATTTCATACTTCAAATTTATGCTAATATAAAATGTGCATTTTAAAAAGAGGGGTTGCCTCTTTCTGAGTGAGAGTATAAAACAATATTGGGATGATTCTTTAATGAGCTCTAGAAGTTAAGAGGTGGAACTCCTGACAGGGTTAAACTTGCATTGTGGAAAGTTCTTTTTTTCAAGACAGGATTTCCTATGTGTAGCTTTGTAGACCAGGCTGGCCTTGAACTCAGAGATCAGCCTGCCTCTGCCTCCTGAGTGCTGGGATTAAAGGTGTGGGCCACCATCTTAAAACTTTATAACAAGATACAAATTTCATCTTTGTTTTTCACCTGTTAGCATTATGTATGTTTTGGTTATCTTAGGCTTTTCTTGAACTTTGTCAAGAATGTAAAATGCTTGACCTAGCACATAAATGGGTGACCTGGTCTTTGTCTTGTAGTATTTAAATCTTTTTTTTTTTTTCTTTTTTGAGACAGGGTTTCTCTGTATCATTTTGGAGCATGTCCTGGAACTTGCTCTGTAGACCAGGCTGGCCTGGAACTGTCTGCCTCTGCCTCCTGAATGCTGGGACTAGTGTGTCACCAATGCTTGGCTGCATTTGTAAACCTTTTAATTACACTGTTTTTTGCCAGCTACCATCATTCATGTCAGATATATATATTCCCCCAGCTTAAAAAAGGACATGGGTACTTGCCACATTATTATATTACAGCATTCTATTTTAACCTAATCCTGCCTCACTGAAGTTGATATACAGGTGGCTAGCAGATACCTGTCCTCTTCAGCTCCCTGACTTTTGGCACCCTTTATGTTGGTCTCAACCTGTCAGAAGGACCTGGGGACTGGGGTGGGGTTAAGGATTTCAGTAATGAAGACTCAAGTTTGAGTCTTGACTGAAACAGCAGCTGGAGTTTTGAGTTCTAAGACAACATTCTGGACCCTTGATCATGTATTCTTTCCCAGTAAAATAAAAACATTTTTTAGTTTTTGTTTGTTTGTTTTTGTTTTGAGACAGAGTTTTGCTAAATATTTAGCCTAGGCAGGCCTCAAACTCATCCACCTTCCTCAGCTTTCCAAGCTGGCGGTCTCAGTTGTGGGTCACATCCTGCTAAAACTATAATTTGGAATGAGAGTTGAGAGACCTGAGTCTACTTCATGTTGTTTCTTTCCTGAGTCAGAGCCACTTCTTGGTCCCTGCTTGAGACAGGGTCAGGTCAGGATAGCTGTCACCTCCTGGTGTGAGTGTGTGTTTGTGTGAGTGTGTATGTGTGTGTGTGTGTGTGTGTGTGTGTGATTATGTATCCATCCATCCCTGCTCTCCTGAAGTGCTGGGGTCACATGCAGACACCACCATGTTAGTTCTGGTTCTACTTCTGACTTACTCTCTGGATCAACAGGATGGCTAAACAGCCTCCCTCTGTGCCCCTCATCAAACAGGAAACATATTGCTATAGTTAATAGCTTTTTAGGAAGATTTAAGTTCTATATAAAATGGAAATACTAGTAACTAAGTGGGAGTATTCAGTTTTCCAAGCACTTCTGTGGCTCAACTGGACACTTCCTGTCTAGTACTCTGTAGTAATAGATGCTGTTCTACCCTATCCTGGCATGCTACAGGGCAGGAGTCATCCTGATTAGCCTAGTTCCTTCAAAGTAGACTTCACCACACTAATCAGTTCATGAAAGTCTTTTCTGAAAGTGACCACACCAGTGAATATGTACAGCCTATCTGCCCCTTCTTGTTATCCTTCCAGGGAAGGAGGGGGTCAGGGGTCATCAGTGAGCCAAACTGAAGAATGTGAGGGCAATTGGCCTTGATCTCCAACTGCCAGGGGGCAGCTAAAGTACTCACTTGCATGCTTTCTCAGCTCCCAAGCCTATGCAGACACCAATACAAGTGCATATACCTGATTTGTCCCTGCATATGTCATGGCTGCCACGGCCCCAGAACTGTGGCCTATAATGATGGTCTTCTCATTACAGTGTAGTTCTGTCCCCATGAAGGGTGACCAGATGTTCTTTGGAGCTATAATTGGATCAGGCCTGTTATTTGCCAGACCCTGGAAACCAGGAATCTGCTCCATCCCCTTCCTCACCCAGCAGTATAGTAGGTGGTGCCACATCTCTGTCTCCATTCCAGAAACAATCATTGCCTTGATAGGAACATGGTGAATGTAGGCACTGGAAACCCCTGCCCAGCCTGGGCCCTATTGGTTTGTTTGTTTATTGTTTTGGGTTTTGGAGACAATTTCTCTGTGGGCTGTCCTGGAACTCTTTGTAGATCAGGCTGGCCTTGAACTCAGAGATCTGCCTGCCTCTGCTCCACTGTGCTGGGATTAAAGGCAAGTGACACCACACTCAGCTATTTGATTTTAAACACACTCTTTTGTACTTTGTTTTTTGTTTTTTTTATTCTCTAGCCCTGGCTGTCCTGGAACTTGCTATGTAGACCAGGCTGGCCTCAACTCACAGTGATCTATCTGCCTGCCTCTGCTTCCAGAGTGCTGGGATTAAAGGCATGGGCCACCACTGCCTGACTATTTTCAAACACATTTATTTATTTATTTATTTATTTATTTATTTATTTATTTGACAGCGTTTCCCTATGTAAGCACCCAGACTGTCCTAGAACTCACTTTGTAGACTAGGCAGGCCTCAAACACAATTTTTTTTTAAACGAATGGATTTTCATTTCTATTTTATTTGTGTGAGTATTTTGTCTGCCACCTGCAGGACATCAGATCCTCTGGAACTTGAGTTACAGGTAGCTGTTGTTAGCTGCCAGTGATCTTAGCTGATGAGACATCTCTCTCAATCTTGGTCAACCTTTTTTTTTTTTTTTTTTTTTTTTTTTTTAATTAATTGCCCAAGCCAACTTGGTAGCTGTAATCCTCTGCCTCACCCTTCCCAGTAGCTGAAATTATAGGCCTGTCACATATGGGTGGCATATTTCAGTGTGCTGGCACATGTGCATGTGTGTAGGTCAGAGGACAGCTTACAGTAGTAGGTTTTCTCCACTTACCTATTCACTGTATGGGTCTCAGACTTGGCTGAGAGTAACTACTCACTGAGCCATCTTGCTATCATCCCCATCGCTTTTCATTTACCTAGAGGCTTGCCAATTTTGTTGATCTTTTTAAAGAATCAAACTTTATTTCAACCGACTTTTCTCTATTAGCTCTGCACTAAGCTTTGAGTTTATTTTATTCTGATAATTTGCCAATTGTAAATGAAGTTAGCTTGTTGGTTTGTCATGTTTCCCATCTTTTGATGCACTTGTAGCTACACTTAGGAATGTGTCACTACCTTAGTTGTTTCCTCTTTATGAACAGTAATAGTCATGACTCCTCTCTCCTGGGGTCATTGGTAGAAATGCTTAATTCCCTCAAAAGTTGTAACTGGATATTTACTAAAATCTGGAAAAGCAGGGCATTTGCAAGTTTCTGTTTAGATCTGCAGGGATTTGGGAGACATTCTTGCTGTATTTAGATCTCCATCATTGTTTGGTAGATGAGAATAGCATAGGTGCATTCTTAAGGGATGTCACTGTGTGTATACAAAGGGTGCAGTGGGCAGTCAGTTCCAGAGTCAGAAAGGCCATTTGAGAGGCAAGAAGACCCTTTTAAGTAAGAAATGATGGTGGGGTAGATTAACACTGTAAAGACTGAGAGTTGTATTAGGACTTATTGGCCTTCTAATTTTTCTTTTTAGGTCCTCACAACTGAAAATCTAGTTCCACAAAAAGCTTAACTCCATTTCCCGAACATCTGAAGAACCTAAGTTTCTCTAAATCTTCTGCCGCATAAGGACCAGGCAAGAGCCCCAGCTCAGCCTCAGGCCTGCTTACCACTCAGCTACCCCATAAAGGAGAGCTGCCATAAAAGTACAGCCCAGCATACATCATCAGCCCAGAGCATGGCTTCCTCTAGTTTCACATCTAAGGCCTCTGAATGTCCTATCCTCTGGACGGTTCTTTCTCACAACTCAACAGACCCTGGAAAAGCCCCTGCTATACCCCTTGCAGAGCCAGGTAAAGCTGTTCCTATATCCCAACAAGCTGTGTCTGCCGATCAAATGACACCCACAGCAGCAAGCTCTCAGCAGACAGATGCCAATGATACAACAGTCACAGAAAGCAAGGTAACAGTCTCCAATGAAGGCAGCCAAATAAACACCCTTTGTGATAAGCAAACTCCTCCCTACAGAAGCCAGCTAGCAACTCCTGAAGAGGACCACATGATGAACTCAAGTGGTGACCACACCCCATTGGAAGACGATCCAATCATTTCGGGAGGTGACCAAGACTTATACTTGGGTCAAATGATCATCCTCAACGCTGACCAGAATTACCATGGACATCAGAAGATGGCCCTCAATCGTGACCAGAATGTCTACAGAGATGACATGAGAACTCTCAGTGATCAGACCTACTGTAATGGTCAAATGATGCCCTTCAGTGGTAACCAGCCTGTCTACAGGAGTCATATCGAAATTGCCATGGAAGACCTGACCCATGGAGCTCAGATGATACCTCACAATGGTAACCAGGATTTCACTGAAGGTCAGAAGACAACCTCCACCAATGACTTGATCTATGGGCCTCAGATAACACCCCACAATGGTAATCAGGATTACTTTGTGGATCAGAAGATAACCCCCACCAACGAAGTGAACCATGGGGCTCAGATAATACCCCACAATGGTAACCAGGATTACTTTGTGGATCAGAAGATAACCCCCACCAACGAAGTGAACCATGGGGCTCAGATAATACCCCACAATGGTAACCAGGATTACTTTGTGGGTCAGAAGATAAACCCCACCAATGAACTGAACCATGGGGCTCAGATAACACCCCACAATGGTAACCAGGATTTCTTTGTGGGTCAGAAGATAATCTCCACCAATGAACTGAACCATGGGGCTCAGATAACACCCCACTATGGTAGCCAGGATTTCATTGGGGATCAGAAGACAACCTCCACCAATGGCTTGATCTATGGGCCTCAGATGATGCCCCACAATGGTAGCCAGGATTTCATTGGGGATCAGAAGACAACCTCCACCAATGGCTTGATCTATGGGCCTCAGATGATGCCCCACAATGGTAGCCAGGATTTCATTGGGGGTCAGAAGACAACCTCCACCAATGGCTTGATCTATGGGCCTCAGACAACACCCCACAATGGTAATCAGGATTACTTTGTGGATCAGAAGATAACCCCCACCAACGAAGTGAACTATGGGGCTCAGATAATACCTCACAATGGTAACCAGGATTACTTTGTGGGTCAGAAGATAAACCCCACCAATGAACTGAACCACGGGGCTCAGATAACACCCCACAATGGTAATCAGGATTACTTTGTGGGTCAGAAGATAACCCCCACCAATGAAGTGAACTATGGGGCTCAGATAATACCCCACAATGGTAACCAGGATTACTTTGTGGGTCAGAAGACAATCTCCACCAACGAACTGAACCACGGAGCTCAGATAACACCCCACAATGGTAGCCAGGATTTCATTGGGGATCAGAAGACAACCTCCACCAATGGCTTGATCTATGGGCCTCAGATAATACCCCACAATGGTAACCAGGATTACTTTGTGGGTCAGACGATAACCCCCACCAACGAAGTGAACCACGGGGCTCAGATAACACCCCACAATGGTATCCAGGATTTCATTGGGGGTCAGAAGACAACCACCAATGGCTTGATCTATGGGCCTCAGATGATGCCCCACAATGGTAGCCAGGATTTCTTTGTGGGTCAGAAGACAACCTCCACCAATGGCTTGATCTATGGGCCTCAGATGATACCCCATGATGGTAACCAGGCTCTCTGCAGAAGTCAGAGGACAACTCACTGTGGTGATCAGACCTTTTATGGAAACCAGATGCCCTATGTGGACAGATTTTCATATATTCCAAATTCTCACTTGGCCCAAGGACAACCTCCAGAATGCTTTTCAAGCTTTCCTTTGGGTCAAAGAAATCTGGATGGGAAGGAGGACCTCAGGACTCCAACTCCTCAGGTGCAGAAGAACAATCGGAAGTCCCACGTGTGCAGTTACCAGAACTGTGGACAGGCATATTCAAAATCTTCCCACCTCAGAGCCCATATGCGCAAACACACTGGTGAGTGAGGGTCTGTCTATATGGGGGTTGGGGGTAAGTGGCTACAGGTCTGTGCTTTTACAGGCCTTTGATATTTGAGATTATTGTCACGTCCTGGAAGTCTGGGAGCACAGGAGACCCTGGGGAAGATTGTCAAGTTTGAAGGCGGCGGGGGCGGCGGGGGGGCGGCGGGGGGCGGCGGGGGGCGGCGGGGGCGGCGGGGGGGGGCGGGGGCGGGGGGGCGGCGGGGGCGGCGGGGGGCGGCGGGGGGGCGGCGGCCTTCAGTCCCAGCACTCGGGAGGCAGAGGCAGGTGGATCTCTGTGTGAGTTCAAGACCAGCCTGGTCTACAGAGCTACTTCCAGGACAGCCTCCAAAACCACAGAGAAACCCTGTCTCCAAAAGCCAAAAAAAAAAGTTTTATATTAGTAGCTCAGGCCCCAAGCCAGTGTCAGACTGGGCTAGCCTTATATGGTGTGCTACATGATGGGATAAGTGAGGTGTTATTTTGGTCCCTTGTGGAGGTTTATGGGTTTAAATACTCCCACCTGAGCCACCAAGTACCTAAGACTGTTGGCATATGCTCACCTTAGGCATTTCACTCGACCTCTGAAGGGAACTCTTCTTGGACTCTTCCTTCTCTATTCCTTCATTGGCTTTCTTGCTCAGTCCTTTCTCACCTCCTTTGCCTCTTGCTGTTTTTTGTTTGCCTTTTTGGTTTTTTTTCGAGACAGGGGTTCTCTGTGGCTTTGGAAGCTGCCCTGGGACTAGCTCTTGTAGACCAGGCTGGCCTCTACCTCTCGAGTGCTGGGCCTAAAGGCATACCTTACCACTGCCCGGCCCTCTTGCTGTTTTTTTCTTCCTATCCTTCTTCAAAGGTTTCTTCTTGTCTTTCCAATTCATGTTTCTCTCCAGCTATTCTTTTTCATACTTCAGCCTCCTTTCTCCATGTTCTTTAGCCTTGTCCTTGATTACTGTCAGGACCCCTGACCCACCTTTCCCTGGGTGTACCAAGCCTCTCTTTCTCTCTGGTTCAGGAGAGAAGCCCTACAAATGCAACTTTCCTGGATGCTCGTGGAAATTCTCCCGCTCAGATGAGCTCAACCGACACAAGAGAAAGCACACTGGGATGAGGCCCTACCCGTGTACGAAGTGCAACAAGAACTTTGCACGATCAGATCACCTAAGGAACCATGAAAAAATGCACAAGTAGTTTCCTCCCAGCACTGAAATCCATCAGGCCATAAAGACATCCCAGCACTCGGGAAGCAGAGGTAGGCAGATCTCTGGGAGTTTGAGACCAACCTGGTCTACAAGAGCTGTTCCAGGACAGCCTCCAAAGCTCATAGCTACCCCCAAAGGAACCCTGTCTCAAAAAAGGTTCATGTAAATTTCTTCTGTGAAGACATTGTTTGAGACCAGGTGGGGCAAAAGACCTTTAAACTCCGTGCTTAGGAGGCAGAGAGTCTCCAAGTTTGAGACTAGCCTGGTCTATGTGTCTGTTATCAATGAATAAATCACCAGATCCCATCGCTGTGACTCAAAGTTAACTCTGTGTGTGTGTGTGTGTGTGTGTGTGTGTGTGTGTGTGTGTGTGTGGTGACTTTTGGGAGTCAGTTGTCTAGGGGGTAGAACTCTGATGGCAACTGCTCTTCTTGCCAACCTGTCTCATGAACTTTATTTACTTGGAATTGTTATTTACTTGCTTGGTCGGTTTGGTTTTTTTGTTTGTTTTTTGTTTTTTGAGACAGGGTTTCTCTGTGTAGCTCTGGCTGTCCTGTAAACCAGGATGGCCTCAAAGTCAGAGATCCACCTAATATACTTTAAGACAACTTGTATGAATTTTTTTCTTTTAAAAAAAAAAATCACCAGCCAGCCGTGGGTGGTGCAGACCTTTAATCCCACCACAGTCTCCAATACAGAGAAACCCTGTCTCAAACAAAACAAAACAAAAACAACAAAAGAAAGTCACCCATACAGTAGATATCCCTGATGCATCTGTTTCAGTAAACCATTGGAAATTATGCAAATAGTTACTGACCTTATCTGGTTTTTATTTAAATATCACTTATTTTAAAATGGCCAAAGTAATACTTTTTTTTTTTTTTTTTTTTTTTTTTACTTAAACAGTCTTTAATGAAATCTGTGTATGAGACGCCCCTACTCCTGCATCTTCTCATTCGGTTCTTCCTTGTATTTGCCCTTCTCCTTTCCTACTTGTTGAGACTTGGCTTTCCTTTCCAGGATCTTCTTGCGGTCTTTGTCCAGCTTTAGCCTGGTGATAACCACCTTGCTGGGGTGGATGCCCACATGGACAGTTGTGCCATTAGCCTTTTCTCGCTGTACTCGTTCAGTGTAGATGACATATTTCTTCCTGTACACCTGGAACACTTTGCCAATCTGCTGACCTTTGTAGTGTCCTCGGACAACCTGAACTTCATCATCCTTTTGAATGGGCATAGATCGAACATTGTACTTCAGTCTCAGCTCTTTGGAAAGAGGGGAAGACATGATCTTCCTCCGAATGTGAGACGGTGCATTGAAATGCCGTTTGCGGTTCTTGCTTCGGTCAGAAGTCACGAAGGGATTGAACTTCATTTTGGCGGCTGCGATCCCCCAAAGTAATAAATACTTTTAAGAATACCAGGGGAATTGTATCATATGAATAACCTACAGTGAGATCAAGTCTTTGAACTTCCGTCAGATATTATGTTAGGCAAGCAAACAGGACTCTACCCTCTACTGCATTGAGGTTACTGTCTTAAAAGTTGTCAGTATTTTCTTTAAGGTTTTTACTTTTATAATACTTATGATCTTCTTGGAAATCCTGGGGTGTGGGAAAGTTAAGCACCTGGTGAGGGGAATGTGAATGCCAATGAATGTTTACACTACCCAGGGGTGAGCCAGAGCTCCTGTGCTTCTCAGTCATAAGTAGAGCACAGAAGTGTTTTAAGGGAAAGATCCCTGAACAAAATTTAAAAGGTTCTTAGAAATTACTGTTGCTAACATGACCCACAAATAAAGAAAATATTCAAAAAACTGTTGAGGTATATTTGTTATAATTAAAAAAAATAAAGTATTTCCTAGTCCTTTCTAAAAAATAAAAATAAAAAGTATATCAGGGGAAATTCAAATGTCTTTTCTGTAATAATATGAATTGATTGCAAATTCTTAATTTTTCTGTTTTTTTATTTCAAGACAGATAAATTCTATCTGTAACTTTGGAGCATGTCCTGCGCTCTTTGGAGCCTGTCCTGTGCTCTGTAGACCAGGCTGGCCTTGGACTCATAGAGATCCACCTGCATCTGCATCCCAAGTGCTGGCATATATTACCACTGCCTGGCTTGACTGCAAATCCTTGTGCATCAAATAATTACCTTTAATCATGAAAATTATTATGATGAAGATTGTGGCGATGGCTGATAATGACCCTAATGATTATGGTTATAGTGATTACAATAGTTATGATTATGATGAAGTAGAGTTGTATCTTCTGACCTTTTTGTAGGTCCTGGAGATCAAAGTCAGGGCTATGGGGTTTGTTTACCTTTTTCTACTGGGCCCTGTTGTTAATCTTGAAAACTATGCCTAGAAACATACAGTTGGCATATTCTATACAACTGGTATGTTAACTTTGTTTAAATAAGCAGAATTGTTAATAAAAAAAATTATCACCCAAGTAGCAAGCCAGGAATGGTCTTGTGTGTGATTGTCTTGTGTATTCCTGTAACCCAGCTCTGTGGGTCGGGGGATCTTAGAGACAAGGAGTGCTGGATGCTAGCCTAGCTTTAAAAAAGGCAGGCTGCAGGTTCAGAGAGAGATCCTGTCTCAAAGGAAAAAGTACATCATGAGAAAGGACGCCAGTGTCAACACAGGCACTGATACATATGAACACACCACACACACAAGATTTTCAAGTGGGCCAGACATGGTGGGAGTCATTCTAGGTTCTGTCCAGGATATGGGAACTGCGTCTTTGGGCCTTAAGTTTTATTTATTAGCTTTCTCTGTGTTTGCAGATACATGTGTGGATATTAGGAAACAGCTCTTGGGAGTTGTACCTTTTGCCACCATAACTACCGGGCAAGTGAACAAGCACCTCCACCCATGGAGTCATCCTCTATGATTTGCCTGTTATGTGTCCTTGCCTGGGCTTGTGTTACAAGTATGTTTTTTCTCCGCTGGCTGGACCCACCACAGCACCAGCCCCAATTAACACACAGAGACTCTGTATTTGATATAATGCTGTTGGCCAGGTACTAGCTTCTTATTGGCTAGCTCTGTCTTAATTATTAACCCATTTCTATTAACCTAATTATTTCCACGTGGTCTCATCTTACCAGAGAGTCTGCTCTCCCCCATCTCTCCATGTTGACTCCTCCCTACTCCTTCTTCTTTCCTCCTTGTCTCCTAGCCCCATCTATCTTGCTTTCCTATTGGCCAACAGTGCTTTATTCATTAACCAATATGAGAAACATATTTACAGAATGACATCTCCCATCAGGCTTGGTTTATTATTCTGATGGTTTTTTCTGTCTTCACTAGCTAAGTTCAAGAATTTGAGGGTCCTCTGTGAGGTCTGGCTTTGACTCCCATTTGGCCTCCCTATTTCCTAAAAAAAGATCTGGGCCATGTGGATGTCTGGTTCCTGCTGTTGCCAGAAACCATGGTCTCTTGTCACTGACTGTACAGGTCAGGACAGCTTGTTTTGCAGTGGTATCACAGTTGAGAATGAGAGACACAGAAGGCCTCTGTGACAACCTCTCCCGTTTCCTGCCTCCTCCACCACAAAAAAGAAAGTCTAGTCAGAAAGCCGTTGAAGAGAACTCTTAAAATTTGTGATAAGGCCAGGTGGTGATGGTGCCTTTAATCCCAGCTCTCTGGAGGCACAGGCAGGGAGATCTCTGTGACTTTGAGGCCAGCCTGGTCTACAGAGTTAGTTCCAGGGCAGCTTCCAAAGCCTCAGAGAAACCCTGTCTCTCGAAAAACAAACAGAAAAGAAAATGTGATAAGGATGCTGAAGTGTAGCTCTTAACAGTTGATAGGTCTGGCAGGGGTGGGGATAGGGAAGGGTTCAGTTTTCCAAGGGGCTGCCCACTGGAAGTTTGACCATGCTCCAGTGAGTATATAGGCAACACAAAATGGACTTGGTATTTCTTCCTTCTCTTTGGGGGAGGGGGAACACAAGAGTGAGGAGGTGGGCCTGGGAGGACTGGGAATTCAATGTGGTGGGGTGCACTATGTGAAATTCTCAAATAAGAAAAGGTCTGGGTAAGGTCCAGTGTCTTCTAGTTCACCCACTTCTTCGTGGTGCTTTTCCCTGAGAGACCTTAAAAGGGGTCAAACCAACCCACTCATTACAGAGCCACCATAGTTAGACCTGTTGGGGACCAAGTGGCATCTTAGTCTTCTCTTTAAAGCATGAAATAATATAGTATGTTGTGAGTATTAAAAAGAAAAATGAACATCTTGGGGCTAGAGAAGTGGATCAATGGTTAAGAGCACTGGCTACTCCTCCAGAGGGCCTGGGTTCAATTCCCAGCATCTACACGGCAGCTCACAACTGTAACCCCAGTGCCAGGGAAACTGGTGCCCTCACACTGACACAACATGTAGGCAAACACCAATGCATGTAAAATACATTTTAAAGAATAAACATTTATAAGATCCCATCAGCCAGTATTGGGCATCAGCCACCCAGGACAACAGCCTTGGACTTACTGCCACACAGTTAAACAAAGGTCAAAACAAAGTATGATTTCCAGTGTTTATTCTCCACGGAAACCAAATGAGGCAGAGGAGGAGGAAGCCTCTCCCTGCCCTTGAATAAAACAAGGAAAAGCAGGGTAGGAGTGGGGGAGTCTGAGTCAGACAGGAGGCTCGGGGAAGAGATACCTTGACTGTGCAAATGAGGCAACAGGTGGGTGGAGGAATACTTCAGTTCATGAGGGACCAGCTGGTGGCTAATGCAGGACAGTTCTCTGATGGAGTTGGACAGACGCAGTTTGTCTCCCTTTCTCACAAGAATAATTAGAATGCCCTCAGGACAAAGCATCTGGATAAGCGGGAATGATCAAAACAAACCAGGCTTGTTTTCTGTAACAGAGCCCCAGACCTTAACACAACTGACTCCATATTGGAAATATCATCTGGGCTGTAAAACTCAGCACATAGACAGTACCACTTGCCAAGATAAAAACAAAGACCTAATCC